TATAGATTGCAATATTTTTCTATATATATATATATATATATATATATATATATTATAAATCTACAACAATGTACAAACATGTCCCAAGTCCATGAAATCGCACGAGCATGAAATCTAATTATGTAATAGAATCCAACTTAACTTCCATGATTTTCATAGATAACAAAAATAAAAATTGATAATGCATCATCCTTTACAGATGACATATTGTTTATATATATTTTTTAAATATAGTTGGGTTTATACATCAACCAAGTGCATTAAACATTTCCAAGTGCATCTAAGCTAGGCTCTAAGTCCATCAACTATTTTTTTCCTTTCATTTATTAGTTCTGAATTTTTTAAAACAATTTCCTACTATCACATTAATGAATCAACATTGAAGAAAATTATTTAATAAAAATAAAGTATAAATATATTAAGTATTTTTTTATAAATACATTTAATGAAAAAAATAGGAGAAGTAAAAAAAATTAAACAAGTAAAAACATATGAAATATTTATAGTACAGTGACAATTAAAAAATAAAAATATTCAAATTCACACACACACACATATATATGTATATATATGTATTTATGTATATGTATATGTATACATATAGCCAAAATGGAGAAAAACATTAGTGTTCTATGTACATAATCAATCTTGTTCCATCATCTTATTTCTTATTAAGAAAAATCATATTTATTATTCTAAAATTTAGTCATTTTTATACTTACTTTCTATATTTTAAAAAATTACAGTTTAAATTTTTAATAAATATAAAATAAACTAAACTATAAAATGATATATGATGTGAACTATTATGTGCACTAAACTATAATTTTCAAAAACACAAAACTACTAAATTATAAGATGTTAGAGTAATTTTGCCATCTTATTATTTATTTTATCAATTGGTGATGTTTGATATTATAATTTAACTGTATTTTTTAGAATTTTTAGTTTAAATTAATTTTTTTATATTAATTTAATATGTTAATATTAAAAATAATTTGTTTAAAATAAAAAAATATTATTTAATATATTTTAAACTAAAAAATAGTTTAAAAACTCTCAAGACACTCGGAAGCTGAATATCCCTCACCCAATCAATACCGTAAAACAAACGTAGCATATGAAAATAACGACGCACCTGAAAGTGTTAGAGAGTTGTATTAAAGAAATAAAAAATAAAGTTTTAAATGAAGCGAGTTTACATGTCCCATTTTTAAATTTCAAATCCGTGAAAGGATCAAAGCACTTAAATCATTCTCTCTTCTAGCCATATTAGGGGTTAGCCTAATATGCAGCCTAGTAATGGCGGACTGTCATATATCCATCATCATCATCATGATCATCATCAACAACGACAAGAAATGCAACAACGCTTGAGAAGATGATTGTTGCTGCTCACCATCAGTTTTACAAAATCTACAAAATCTAAACCATCGTTGCCTATACCACTTGCAACAAGAACAACATAAACGGCCTCATCAAGCTTTTTTGCAGCAGCATCACCAGTTGTTCTATCCATTTCAGCAGCAGCAGCAGCAACAACAGAGCCAGGGTCAAGGCATCCCTCAAAACCCTTCACTATTCACCATGAGTTTTAAGTTGGGGCGCAATGAAGGAAGTGGCAACAAAAAGGCTAGTGTTTTAAATAATCAAGATGAAGCTGCTGCTACTCCTACATTACTTGATGGAAATGGGCATGTTAATCCGCCACATGCCATTTTAATGCCTCGTTCCTGGCATCCCCTGGAAGATTATACCACTATCAAAGAACCGTTTTGGTAGTTTATTGCTAAACATTTAATAATCTCATGACTTTTGTTTATTTTTCTATTTGTTAAACTGGGTACCGTGTCATCTATGTGTTTGTGTAAATGTTACAGGAAACAACTCGAGAAGAAGCGGTGGGGAAGTGAGGAGGAAGAAATTAGTGGAAACAGAACTAGGTATTTTAGGCCTTTAGAGATAGAACACGTAGTTGATGAAAGTAGGGAGAGATGCAGGAATTTGGACATCAAATTTCCCATCTTTAATGAACTTGAAGCTATATATAGTCTTGCAAAGATTGCTGAAGCTAATCAAACAGGCTCTGGCTCTGTTCTCACAGGCGACCATTCACCAACGAATGCGGGTCATTCAGTGCCATCCAGTGCTGCCAATAATGTAACTGGTGTTGATCATGGGTCAGAGAATTCAATTGGAGAGGAAGCTTCATTAAGAAAGAGCCAGAAGAGGAAGAGAAAGAGGAAATTGAAGGAGAAATTAAGTTATATGGCTGGGTTCTTTGAGAACACGGTGAAGAAAGTGATGGATCACCAAGAAATGTTGCATAGGAAGTTCTTGGAAGTGATTGAAAGAATGGATAGAGAGAGAACAGATAGAGAAGAAACCTGGAGACACCAAGAAGCTGAAAAGCACAACAGAGAAGCCATTTCTAGAGCACATGAATGGGCTTCAACTTCAAGTAGAGAGGCTCAAATTGTTTCTTACATAGAGAGAATCACGGGCCAAAGTATCAATCTTCCTATTAGAATGGCTCCACCATTGCTGCAACCAGAAATTTCAAATGAGCCCATCAAAGAAATTACATCTACAAAATCTGACAGCCATAGCAGATGGCCTAAAGATGAAGTTGAGGCATTGATCAAAGTTAGAAGTAGAATAGAGATTAAATTTCAAGAACCTGGCGTTAAGGGTCCTCTTTGGGAAGAGGTAAGTTCTTTAATGAGTTCAATGGGCTATCAAAGGAGTGCCAAGAGGTGTAAAGAGAAGTGGGAGAATATCAACAAATATTTTAGAAAAGCCAAAGAAAGTCCAGAGAGGAGGTCTCAGCGATTCAAAACCTGCTCTTATTTTAATCAACTGGATCAACTATACTCGAGAAGTCTCATTAACTATCCTTCGAACACTACTTATATGCCATCACGTGGCGTTGGGTTTGACATCGAAAAGCAAGGGCATTCAGAGGTTTTAGAAGCCTTTGCTGTTGGGAAAGACCACCTTGCAACTATAACAAATCCCCCCGGTGAGAACATAAAAGGTGCTGAAATGGGCTCTTCGAGATTTGAGTTTGATGGTATCGCTGACAAAAACGAAGAACTTGAAGAGGGAAGCAGTGAGCAGGATAAAGAAGTTTACAAAGATGATAAGCAGGAGAGTGGCGAACAAGGAAAAGATGACGGTAGTGATGACGAAGAAAATGAAAATTGAGGCTATAGCTTAGATGAAATTTGAGGCAAATAGTTTGTAGCTTCTTTCTGCCAGTATCTATTCGATTTAGAATTTTAAGTTTTGCTGGAACCAACGGTAGTGGTTACAGAATTATTTTGCTAAGCGACCAAGCCAGATGTTAAGAGTTGGCTGTTACAGAGGAGGATGGATTTTGAACATTCACTTTGATGTTGAAGCATGAATTTCATCTAACTAACTGGTTTTGAAATAAATCTAATTGGTTTCTTAGCATAAGTTTTAGTTATTAACATCTCCAAGTATGTTAGCCAAATTTGAACGAAAATCATATGTTTGTTTCCTCGGTAGTTATTGATATGAACCTTCATATTCAGGTGTGCTTAGTTTGAGGCTGCCTCTATCTAAATTTCCGAAAGCTAATGTGATGTAAGACCATCCCTCCCCTTGAACGTTTTCCCTTCGTTTTGGATACTCCGGTTTGATTATTACCTGCCAAGGATGCAACATTTAGGAAATGATTATTCCTGAATTTCACCTCAGTTTAACCTTCGCCGTCCTAATCTGCTCGTTGCAAGTTCAGATTTTAAGATCATTTTCAATTTTATTATATTTTTAATAAAGAAGGAGCAAGTTCATATTGCTAAATAACAAAGCAATATTTTAATATGCAATAGATCCTTCGAAGCTATTAGAAATGTGAATCGACTTGTTCGAGTCACAACGGAAGCCCGGAATCCATTGAAGTAATCAAATCAATGAAAAAGAAGAAGAAAAAAGAATAGTCAGGGTAGACGTTCAGTGCAGGCGTGCTCCACCCTTGGCCCTTGGAATTGTAGCAGCCCTAGTAAACCATGATTCACGTCATGTAACAGAAGTAGTTAAATTGAGTCACGCTATTAATGGCCCAAACGTAATACTGCTCAACCCAAAAAAGAACAATACTTCAAAGTTTCAAGTTTCAACCCCCTTTTTTTTTTTCCCCTGAAAACAGAGAAGGCATTATAAGAGAAAAGGAATCCCAGTTCCCAACATCGGGCTCCGTGGTTTTTCAAAATTTGGTGTTTCTTATTAAATAGCCGGGTCAGAGGGTTATGGGTTTTATAAATTAACATGCATGGATGATATTATTTTATTTTATTAATTTTATTATTTGATATTAGTTTTTTTAAAAATAGACTTTATAATTTATTTTTATTTTTTATTAGGTTATCCTGATTTCATTACTTTGCTCGTAGGTTTGACGAGTTAATTTTGGTGAACTAGTGCTATTTTTTTTTGTTTTAATCACTATTTTTTTATTCTTTTTTATAATTCAATTTTTTGACTTTTTTAATTTTAACATTTAATATTTGATATATTCAAAATTAGGGTTTGTGGTTTTTTCATACATAGTGCTTCTAATCAAATAATATGGATCACGAATTTTACAAGTTAATATAAATTGATATCAATTTTTTTATGAATTTTTTTCAATCTCATTATTTGATATTAATTTTTTTTAAAAAAATTGGGTTTCATGATTTTTTAATTTTTCTTTTTATTGGGTTATCTCAATTTCATTACTTGACCTGTGTGTTTGGCGGGTTGACCTATATGGGCTCGGGTCTTTGTCTAACTTAAAATTGCTATTTTTTAATCTTTTTGTATGATTTATTTATTTTTATTCAATTTCATCCTTTAATTTTTGATTAGTTAAAAAGTGAGCTTTGTGTTTTTGTCAAATTTGGTGATTTTAGTCAAATAACTTTAGTAACAGGTTTTGTAACTTAACATGGGTTGATATTTTTTTTTTGCTTATTAATTTTTAATTTCATATTTGACATTAATTTTTTTCTCTTCTTTAAAATGCGTTTGTGTCGACTTAACATCAATTTTTTTCCCTCTATTTTTTTTTATTGATTTATGGTAGAGCACAGACCAATTATCTAGTCATAGATATTAACAAAAACTAATTGAGATGGTATTGTTCATTGGAACAATACTTTTTTTTTTAAAAAAAAAATTAAATTTAGTTTTTTGTTTAATTTCATCATTAAACATTAAATTTATTAAGGATTAAGTTTCATAATTTATTTTAATTTGTTTTATATAAAGTTATTTTAATTTCATGATCCAATTAAAAATTTTGACTAGTTAACCTAGGTTGCTTCAAGTCTTTTTTCTTTTTATTTTTTAATTAATTTTTTTTAATTTTATCCTTCAATATTTGATTGATTTATAATTGAGTTTCATAATTTATTATGATTTGCTTTCTGGGTTATCCTAATCTTGTGATCCAGGTTTTACAAGTCACAAGTTGACTTGAGTTTTTTGTTGTATTTTTTTAATCATCTTTTTAATTTTATTTTTTAATATTAGGTTCATTGATAATTGAGTTTTAATATATTTTTTTATTTGCTTTACCTAAGGTTATTATGGTTTTATTATAATGGCTATATTTTATATGTTAAACTAAGTTGATTCAGGTTAATTTAATATGTTATTTCAATGTATATTTTTTTAAAAAAATATTATTCTGAATTTTTTTTATTAAAATATGTTTCTGTTTTCCTGTTATCTAGGACTATAGGTTTTCTTTGGGCTTTTCAAATTGACCCAGTTACATCAAGTGAATCCATACACGATTTGAAAACACATTAAAAGACCTATATATATATATATATATATATATATATATGTATATAAAGATTTTCAAAAGGTTGGACCTGACTTGCAGCATAAAACAAGCAAATAATTTAATATCTAAAATTATTGAGATGACTCACATTGAAATACATTATTAATTTATCTACAATTAAAGACAAAAAGATGGATTTGTGTCTTCACCATTACAAATACTAGTGATTTGCTTCATTACGATTTGAATCGAAAGATCATTAGACATTTTTATTGGGATAATACATTTTCCTTTCTAAACAATCTTTATTTTTTTTTTCTATCATGAATCTTTTGCATTGGTAACTGTTTATTATGTGGCATGATAGGGGGTATATATGGATAAAATACACTACATCATAGTTTATCACCTTTCTACCTTAGCTATAAACTACGTCATTGACTCGTGCGGGTCATGTTAAATTGTTTTTTAACATACTCTTTTTAGATATTATTGATTTTTTTTAGTTGAAAAATAATTTAAACCATGTAAGGGTTGATTCAATATGACTTAATTGATTTTGTGAGTTCAAAAAAAATCTAAATGACTCTTAAAAAACATAATTTGACAAAAAAAATTCAAGATGATATCTTTTTTAATATTAAGATAATAATATATTGAATTAATTTGGATTAACATGAGTTAACATGTTAAATTCATGACCTAGATTATGTGACTATAATAACCTCATATAAAAGAAATAAAAACAAATTATAAAGTCTAATTTCTAATTAACCCAATATTAAAGTATATAAATGAAAAAAAATCAATTAAAATAAAGACTTAAAAAATGACCCTAGTTAACTTGTTAAACCCGTGACTTGGAATATAAGACCAATACAACCTCACAGAAAGAAAATCAAAAGAAATTACACAATTTAATTCCCAATTAGTTTAATGTTGAAGAATGAGACTATAAAAAAATCAATTAAAAATTTATAAAAAACAACCTAAGTTAATCCGCCAAAATCATGACATGAGTTATGAAATTGAGATAATCTTATAGAAAAAATAAAAAAATAACTTAATTTAACTTGAATTAACTTGTAAAATCCGTGACTAAGTTTATAAAACTATTTTAATTTTATAAAAAAATTAAAATAAATTATAAAACTTAATTTTCAATTCTTATCAATTTAAAATTAAAAAATAAAATAACAATTTGTACACCAATAAACCAATTTCACTGTTCAGAGTCTCAATGTAGAAATGTCACTTTGTAATTTTTGAGAAGTTTAATGCTATTTACGTGAAAAGAGCTCCTTGTGGTTCTAGGAGAGGCTTGGGTTTCGTGGGATTCTTGATTATCATTGTTGGGATTTGTCCAGGGTAGGTGTGCTCTTCACGATTGCATTGATTTTATATGGCGGTTGTGAAACATGGCTTGACTTGGATGGAGTATTTCTTTGACTTTTTGCACCATGATTTCCCTTTGCGCTCAGCTGTTTCTCTTGGGAATGGCCATCTGCAGCTCTATTCCTGCATTATACGTTTTAAATATTGCACACATTATTTATCATTTTTTCTATGAGCTTCTTCATTTATATGATTGTGCGTTTAATGTGAAGATTATCTTCAATAGTCAAGAAGGGTCTTCTAGTAGATGTTGATTTTATTACAGTACTGTGCTTGGTTCGTGTGTGTGTGTGTATATATTAGCATTTAAGGCAGCTCTCATGAGCACTTTTTTCTTCTCTTTTTTTCTTTTATTTTTTCAAATGTTTTATTCCACCTTTTTGTAGGTACCTCAACCTTTTTTTTCCCCTTTAATTGCTGTTTTAGAGGTCTTCTGTTTAATAATATTGTTACAATGGGTGACCTGCACAATCTATTTCGAATATTTTCACTCAACCACTTCTTCATGAAACAGCTTACACTCCTCCTTATGCTCTCCCATCCTTTTCTTTCTATGGTTTTTTTTTTCCAATTCAGTCGCTCCACCTCAGGATTCTTTCTCCCAATCTTCGGCACATATGTTTACGCCACGAATTCATTAGTTCCACTTTAAGGTTTCTTCTCCCAATCTCAGGCACATAATGTTTATGTCTCTAGCAATCAAACAACAAGGGTTGTTCAAAATTTAAACTTTGATTCTATTTCCCCCTCTACATCTTCTAAGGTTGTATCCAAGTCTAGAGATACCTCTGAAAATTTAGATGTAGAAAGGTGTTTCTTACGCGCACCTATTGGTTCTCTGAATACACATACTTCGCATAACGAAGCATCAACTACTTTCTTGCAATCAGATCCAATACATGAAAGAGAGTCGCAGATTTGTTCCACCTTTTCTCCTATATTTCATACATATGAGGTTGCCTCTACTTCAAATACTCCAAATACTCCAAATATTTGCCAAAGCTTCCGGCCTCGAGTTGAACTCTATGATGAGTCACCTACATCTGAAATCGTGAATGATTTGCTAAGACCTTTCACTGAGGAGCATATGTTTGGTCAAGTTTTGTACCAAAGAAATCATCGAAGTAAGGATTTCATATATATTTAGCATCTTTTTTTTATTGTCTTTTTTGTTTTTCATCATAATTCTCTCTCTCTCTATCTCAGTTAAGAATAATTCAGAGGTTTAACCTAACGGTTAGCCAACCCTTTCTATATACAT